TAACATGGAGCATGAAAATAAAAGGTAAATCAGCCAGCGGGAAGTATTAAACAAAAGAAGCCGTCTTTATTCCCATTTATGATCATATCAACGCAGAGATAGAAGTCAAAGTTTGATCTAACTCAAGTTGGGAGGAAGCTAACGTGGATGCAAATATGAAACAAAATTTAAAGCAACATATATAAATTGAAAAAAGCTGGGAAAATATTTATGGTTGGGAAGACGGCAGTTTGTCATTCCGTGTGACTCACTGACTACTGACGGCCACATTTGCGGGTATGACCTCCTGTCTTATGAGGTCAAGGCCTTGTCTTAGAGTTTGTCACTCCATGCTAATCTCATGTGTTCCAGGCATGACCTCCTGTGTAATTGGTGATTCCAGATTCAATATCTTCCCCTCATGGATAATTACTACCTGAAACCAATTGCGTCCCTTTCCATCTAGCCAAAGTATATTATTTTACAAACTAGGTTTGAAGCCCGGCGCAAGTGCGGGGTTGTTTGCAATAATTTTTCTGTTTAGTTTTATTTATATTAATTTGTTGGTTTTGAACTTTGAATTATGATGATTTTGTGTTAACTTTTATGTTTTTGTTATGTTTTGAGTTAACCCAACCACTTACACTAAAAAATATGAATAATTTGTTTTTTTTTTTTTTATTAGGATATTAACACTTCATTTTATCTCGAGTTATCTATTTCTAAAACTTTAGCATATTATAAATATTATGTTTGTTTACTTCAATTAGACTATAAATTAAACATGCATATAAATTTGAATTAACGTTAAAATTTGTAAACATAATGAAAAATCGCATTTGCACCCGAAATAATATTAAAATTGAAACAACCAACATTTTATTTTATTTTATTTTATTTTTTTAATATAAATAAATAAATATTAATAAATTCTAGCGAAGGTCTTTAAAATAAATTAAATAAATAAATATCAATAATAAATAAATCAGTTCAGCGGAAGCAAATAATAATTAAACAAGTCTAGCAAAACAATGCAAAATAAATAAAAGCAATAAACATCCTATCATCCCCCTTTTCAGCCTTGATTCCGCGATCACACAAATCTTTTACCTGCAACACATTGGAATGGAGTTGCATAAGTATTTAATAGTGTTTTTAAAACCGGACCTGTGACCGAACCGGAAATGTTTTGGGTCATGGGTTAATATGGTTCGACCGGGTTCGACCTGGTTCGATGATTTTTAAAAATAATATATATAATTTTTTTAATTTTATATATGAATATATCTATGATATTTAAACAGTATAGAAATATATATAAATTTTAAATATCAAATAAATTATTTAAAATTCATAATATTTGAAAATATTCTTTAACAAAACATTCTGAAAAAAGTTAAAATTATCAAATAAAATAGAAATTTTATTGTTTAATTAGAAAACTGGGTTCAATACGGTTCAATGGGTCACCGGTTTTTGATTTTTTATTGGTCGAACTCGGGTTTTTAACCGGTCTAACTATCTATAGGTTTTAGTAGTAACCCAACCCGGAGATGCTTCCGGTTCATGGTTGAACCCGGTCCGACCCGACCGACCTTAAAAACACTGGTATTTAATAAATACTTAGTGAGGCAATCACTCAATTATTAATTACTACTACAACCAATGTTTTAATTCAATTACACCAATTAACCAGGATCAAATCAATGTAAATCAAGATAAACCAATTAAATCAATTAATTCAATTAAACCAGATTAAACCACACAAACACACAATTCATCATAGAAACAACCAAAATACCATGAAATAACAATTAAACACATAAACTCATCAAGAACAACCACAAACCAAATCAAATTCAGCAAATCGCGGACCCACAGTCATGTACTCACCTTGACAATGGATTGAAACTGAAGGAAATAGGAAACACGATGAACAGTGCCGAATCGCGACGATGCACAGTACCCGATTAACAGTACTTCGATGAATAGTACCCGATGAACAGTAACGAAATCTGCTCCAAAATGTCAGAATTTCTCCTTGAAATCTCTCTCTCTTTTCTATTACTGTTCACCCACGAAAACTACAAAAAAGAGGCAGGTCCTCACTTTTATTTCACAAACTAGGGCTTTCTCCACTAAACCGATAAAATTCCCAATTTTCACTGTAATTAAATTTACCTATAAAAACTCGACTTCTATTTGTTTTTAAAAACAAAATCTAACTCTAATTTTCATTAGCTTTCTATTGTCTAAATTAATTTATATTAAATTTTTAATTTGTAAACACATTATAACATTTTTAAATAGGATAAATCCTTTGAATAAAAAGGTAAATATATACTATTTCAAGTTAAATATTTATTTACTCCATTTCCATTTTATATTCCAACATTTTGATAACTTTTAACATCATGTTATCACATACTATATATTAATTAATTAACTTATTTGTGTATTTTTCTTACTTTTATTTATATTTAAAATATGAATAGTCATTCAATAAATATTTTAATATATTTTAATTTTTTTGTGCTGATGTGGACACTCTGAAAAGAGAAACTCCCTAATTATATATAAGATAAACTATTTATCTACCTGTGAACCATCTCCCTCAATGGATTGGTGTCATTTTTTAACGGTGAAAGTCGGTGCTTGAGTGTGAAATTGAAGGGGGTTACTTTAATCTGGAAAAGGAAGTTTTTCCTAGCAACATCCTTCAAACAGCTTTGGAGCTCATTCTCATCAGTCATGTAGCCTGTAACATATTCCAGTTAGTTGTTTTTTGGCACAGCAATGTGCTTTCCTTTTCTTTGTGTATTAGAAAGTATCAAGGGTTAGGTTAGAATACCTCGAAGATGAAAGAAGACGCTTGTTTGGAAGTGAGCTTAGTAGATTCAGCACCGTCATGGACAGCGAGCTCAACCATGAACCTATTAAATCCGTTTTGATTGTTCTGGTGAGTTGTTGTACTTTTGAATGGGGAATGTGATGAGTTTAGAGAAGAGTACCTGACAACACATGTGACGTTACGTGCAACACATTTGTTGCAGCCAAGAGCTTTTCAATATCTGACCAAAATAATTTAAGTGAAAGTGAGAAGATACTGAAGTCACCTATCCATGAACTGCTTGATAGCCTAAGATGTTGGAATTGATAAAAAACCGGGTTGCAGGCATAGAGTTGAGGAATATACCTCCTGCGTAGACATAACCTAACGTAACGTTAGAGATCGGTGGCTCTTTACATTGGCCAATATTTTAATATTTTAGATATGAGATTTGGTGTGGCGACGTTAGTTCAATATTTATAGGCTGGGAGATTAAAACGTTTAGGGTCGTAGGAATTGAAGGGGAGATTGACTTTTGTAGTCGGGTAGTGACTGACCGACCTTAGACTTATGTAACCGAAGTGTGAGGCCGCCTGATCGTCTGGTGAAGTGGAGGAGATGAGGAGATAAGAATCGTTAAAAGAGAGGACGATTGTAGAGGTTCATGTAAGTGGGCTAAAGGAAGGTTTCTTAAAGAGATTTCATTTCTTATATTTAATTTGATGTAGGCCTTCATGAATATAAATAATGATATGTAGACGATTAAAAGAGCAACTCCCCTATTATGTACTCCCTCCGTTTCAAATTAGTTGTCATTTTGGCAAAATGTATCTGCCCTGTCCTACCATAGCTCTAAGAGCATCTCCAGCAGTATTGTTAAATTGTTTGGTTTTTTATTTGACTTATTATACACATAAAGGTTTTAAAAGAAAAATTCTATTATGGCCAATAAAACTATTGCTGTTGAGAAAGTTTGCTACAAAAATGTCAAATGTGTTGTTTTTCTGCAGAAACTCTTATTTCATGCTCAACTACTTCGAGCAATTTCATCACATTGTAAAACAGACGCATATAAAAATCATAAGAAGACACAAAAATTAAAGAACACATCACAAGAAGACCAAATATCCGTGATAATCATCCTCTAAGATGCCTTCAAAACGCTTATCAGAAACTGCAAGTAAAAACAAAAAGCTGCAATTTTCTGGAAACAAAAAACATGAAATTTTCGTCATCTTTCACACAGATTTTCGGATGGACTATACCTTGGATTTAAGAATGAAAAGAAGATCTGGAAAGCTGGATTCGAGATCTTCAAAACCGTATCAAGATCGACGAATACTATGTTCCTTAATGATCGTTAGGAAATATCTTCACAAAACCTTGACTGAAATCTTAAAGCTTTGACAAATTTGACTTCTCAAAGCCAAATGGACATATCTTTCAAAATATACCTCTGATTACTGTGATCTTGGATGTTATGGAAATATGAGACAGAGGTCTTTCCAACGCTACCAAGATCAGCCGCTAAGTCTTCATGGATAGTTGGTAAAGCGCCATGAAAGATCTGAATATGATCCTGGTTTTCTCTTTGTCTTCCTTTGCTTCACAGTCATCATACTTTCGGATATGAATTAACAAACCATAAGAACTCTACCTGAGACAATTGGGGACGGGATAAAGAAACCCCCGGAGTTCAATTTCGTCACTGTCGAGTTCATCGTCAAACTTAGGCGGCGGAAGGGCGACAGGTTTCACCACCGGAGCTTCTTTTCAGGAACATTCACTAGAATCCAGACCAAATCGACAGTAGTTCTTCACAGGCCTTTGAAATGATCCCAAGTTCTCCGAATCACACCTTAGAGGTGTTATTTTCGTTAGCCAAGAATTTGACCCAAATTGGGTGTCAAATCTCCTAAAAAGCTTTTGACAAGTTTTTCTCCAAATAGTTGTTTTAGTTTTGAATAAAGTGGATTTGATTTGAGATTTACAAATGACTAATTGAATAACATGACACTATAAGTGATTTTGAAACTCCACATTTTCAATGCAATTTTATTAATAAAAATCCAGTTTTAACCTTTAGTCTATACCTTTAGTCTTAGGCACGAAACTATGTCCTAGTGCGGTGAATGTCAGACTTGGTTGGTGTTGGGGTCGGAATACTTCTCGTCGAATTCAACGATAAACCATGACGCATGGCAAGGAAGAGAGAGCTAAAGTAAGGCGACCTGTACCGGTACGAGCTCTACCACTGCAGTAGCTCGATCGATCCCGTCACTGCAGCACTAGCTCGATCGATCCCGTCACTTCAACAGTAGCTCGATCGATCCCGTTACTGCAGCACCAGCTCGATCGATCCCGTCACTGCAGCAGTAGCTCGATCGATCCCTTCACTGCAACAGTAGCTCGATCGATCCCGTTACTGCAACACCAGCTCGATCGATCCCGTCACTGCAAAAGTAGCTCGATCGACCCCTTTACTGCAGCACCAGCTGATCCCGACACAGCAACATTCGATTGAGCCCACAGGGAGAGGAGAACGATCGAGTATGGGCCGAGCTGTAACTATCTTTGGGCCGAACCGACATCCATCCTTAGCGATTTGAGCCCAAGCCAAAAAAAGAGATTCACAGTTCGCCCTAGACAATGGTGAGAGTCATCAAAGGAACGGCGCCACAACGGATAATAGGAAATCTTTAGAATATCTTTAGAGAATCTCGGAAAGAGTCGGTTCTATGCCTTGTATAAATAGAGATCGAACCAAAGGAGTTCGATCATCATTTTTCCATTGCAAAACACTTTACTCTTTACATCAATAAAATCACCATCTTTGGATCTCGATTCGTGTTATACTTAGAATTTCTAGTTCTTCTCTCAAATCATCTCTTGAATCTATTTTGCGGATTTCGGTTCACACAATTTGGCGCTAGAAGGAGGGGGATTAGAAGATTTCTTACTCACAAAGCACACGAGATCTGAAGAGATGACCAGACCAGCAACGGCCTCATCAGGGATCATCCCACCAGGAACCGATCCAACCATGGAGAACCAAACTCCCACCAATCAACCGGCGGCTCAGATCGCAACGGCCGAACTGGCGAAGATGCAAGAGATGATCGCCGCCTTGCAGAAGAAAGCCGACGAGCAAGAGGCGCTGAACAGTACGCTGACAACCCAGTTGGAGACTCTGCGAGCCATCCGACAACAGGAAGGCGGACCAGGAGGAATTGCGAGAGCGAAGGGCATCGGTCCGGTGGCGCTCACCTTAACGACCCCAATCACAGCAGCGGGAGGAAGAGCAGCGACAGGAAGCAGAACAACCGATCCACCTCCTCTTAACAAATCAAACACAAACGACGGGTCTGGAGCGATTAGAGATGCACCAGCGAACGGAACGGGAGCTCACGCGACTCACCTCGCCGGCCAATCCTTACAGTGATGAAGCGCTCGCCGTACTCGTAGATCATGTGATGGCGAAGAAGATCAATGAACTGCAGATTGCGGCGGCCGTTAGCGGAACCCTGAACAACGGAGAGCTGGAGGAGCTGCGAGCCAGAATGGCGCGATCTGACGAAAATACAAGACTCCTCAGATCCCAAGTCCATAAAGCTCTTAGCGCAGCTCCAGAAATAGATCAACTATGCGACGATACGGAGAAAACCCCTTTCTCTCAGACGATCCTCAACACCAAAGTAACTGATCCGGGAAGGCTCAACATCCAGAAGTACGACGGAACAGCCGACCCGAGGGAGCATGTGAACACCTTCCGCATTATTTTGAGCCGAGTCGAATTCCCGACTCCAGAGGTGAAAGACGTCGCATAGTGCAAGCTGTTCGCTGAATACCTCAAAGGACTGGCCTTGATGTGGTTCATGCAAATCGAGCCAAACTCTATCACGAATTTCCATCAGTTGTCGTCTCAGTTTCTCAAGCAATACTCCATATTCATCGAGAATGTCACTTCGGATGTCGACCTATGGACCATGATGCAAGGACGAACCGAAACACTGCAAAATTTTATGACACGTTTTAAAGCGGTTATGGCCAAAGCAGGAGATGTGACGTGCCATTGCCGCACTCAAGAGGGCGCTCTGGTATCAGTCGGACTTTCGCAAGAGATAGCTCACAACCCACCACTGACGATCCAAGATGCGATCCACCGATCCGTATCTTTTGCCGTCAAGGAAGAAGACCTGAAGAGTTTGGCAAAGATACACGAACCGTCCAAACCAACTCCGAAACCTGCACCAACAGAGCAATATGCGCCGAACCATAGGAGAAACAACCAGAGAGGTGGATACGTCCATCACGAGGGGCCAAACCTCTCCGGCTCGCATAACTATCAGGTCACCACCGGTGAACAAGTGAACGCTGGTTTCCAAGCAGGCACTGGTCGAGGAAAGATGTGGAACACCTGGACGCGGAACCCTACCACCTATGACAAAGAAGCATATTGCGAACACCATCAAAGCTACGGACATTCTACTGAGAAATGCCGAAGTTTGGGGGCGCTGCTGGCGAAGAAGTTACTAAGTGGCGAGCTGGGGAGCGAAGTAACACTCAAATATCTTGAATGACCCGAAGTGAGTGATCGATCTGAACCGCAACCCCCATCCGGCGAGCCATCAAAGCGTGGAAGGAAGAATGACGACAATGATCAGCCAAGTTCGAGAAGGAGAATCAACGTGATCATTGGGGGATCACAGTATTGTCCGGATACTATCTCATCGATCAAAGCCTTCCAAAGAAAGGTCGACGCAGCGATTAACTGGTCCGAACCATCGAAGTTCCCGAACGACGTAATCACTTTTGAAGAAAGGGAGACTACCTGAATCGACAAACCCCACAACGATCCGCTGGTGATCGAGCTAGTCGTAAGTAGCATGGACGTAGCTCGCGTTCTAATTGACACCGGAAGCACCGTGAACGTAATCTACAAAGATACGTTGAGAAGAATGGCGATAGATTTGAACGACGTGGTCCCGATCCCAAAACCCTTAACAGGGTTCGCAGGAGATATGACGATGACCATCAGAACCATAAAGCTTCCCGTCGCTGCTGCCGGCGTTATGAAGGTCGTGGATTTCTCAGTGGCAGACGCCCCGGAAATCTACAACATCATCATGGGGACACTGTGGATAAACTCTATGCGAGCCGTCCCATCAACCTACCACCTCTGCGTCAAATTTCCAACTCCAGGGGGAATAAAAACGATTTGGGGAGATCAGAAAGAGTCACGAATATGCTTCATGTCCGAACACAAACTGAGAAACCCAATGACCGAACTCTTTGCAGAAAGAAACCGGAAGAAGTTGAAGACCGGCCGCGAGCCAGCAAACGACCTTGCCAAACTCTTATAGCAATTACAGATCACGGAAGATCGCAGAACCGACGAACCATCATGCGACACCGTGATCCAAGTCTGCATCGATGAAGCACACCCTGAGCGTTGCGTGGAGATCGGGGCTCAGCTCGAAGAACCACTGAAGGAAGAGTTGATCGTGCTCCTAAAGGAAAACGTCAACACCTTCGCATGGGCCGCGGAAGATATGCCAGGGATTGACATCAACATAACATGTCACGAGCTAAACGTGAATCCAACGTTCAAGCCAGTCAAGCAGAAGAGACGGAAGCTAGGAGCAGAGCGAGCTAAAGCTGTGAATGACTAAGTAGAGCGTCTTCTGAAAGTTGGATCGATTGCCGAGGCAAAATACCCAGATTGGCTCGCCAACCCTGTTGTTGTGAAGAAAAAGAATGGAAAGTGGCGAGTGTGTGTGGATTTCACGGATCTGAACAAGGCGTGTCCGAAAGACAGTTTTCCGCTTCCGCACATCGATCGCTTGGTAGAAGCAACAGCAGGAAACAAGCTTTTCTCTTTCATGGACGCTTTTTCTTAGGATATAACCAAATCCTCATGAACCCAGACGACAGGGAAAAGACCGCTTTCATAACAGATCGCGGCATCTATTACTACAAGGTCATGCCGTTCGGACTGAAGAATGCTGGAGCAACCTATCAACGGCTTGTCAATAAGATGTTCGCCGATCAGCTTGGAAAAACGATGGAAGGTTACATCGATGACATGCTTGTCAAATCCCTTGAAGAGAAGGATCATGTGACTCATTTACGCAACTGCTTCAAACAGCTCAACTCAAACAACATGAAGCTCAATCCGACTAAGTGTAGGTTCGCAGTGACATCTAGAGAATTTCTCGGATACATGGTAACCCGTCGAGGCATAGAAGCAAACCCAAAGCAGATCCTCGCGCTGATCGAAATGACCTCACCAAAGACGAAGTTAGAGGTCCAACGGATTACAGGTCGCGTAGCAGCACTTAACCGTTTCATTTCCCGCTCAACGGACAAGTGCCTACCTTTTTACGACACCCTGCGCGGAAACAAGAAATTCGAGTGGAACGACCGGTGCGAAAACTATTTGTAACTTTTCTTATTTTTATTTCAAGAAACACATTACAAAACTATTCTTACCCACATCGGATAGTTATTGTTTCATAGCCGCCGAGAAAGCAGCCAATTTTCCCCCAAAAACACTATCTGTAGGAATACATGGTTCACCGACAATCTAAACCGATAAACGGTTTGATCAACCAGTACAAGATTTTTCCAATTCTCAACCTTTGGTTTACGCTTCACTGTGAAACTCTCTATTCATCTTCTTTTCACTCTCCAAACCAGAAACCGGTTTTAGTATACTGCGACTACAAACAAAATCCGGATTAGAGATCATTTCAGACAATGTAATACCATTTGCTCTTCTTAATCAGATAGAGAAGCAACATACCTCTGTGCTAAAACCGGTCCGGTATAACCTCCATCCGGTTCGCTCGCAGACGGATTTCCCGCATATTGAACCGAAACAAAACCACCGTTGGCTTTTCCGGCGTCTACTAAGTGAGGTTTGCCATTCCCGGCTGCTCTCGGTGACAATCCTGAAAATTTCAAAAACATATAAACCAAAACTGACAATAGCAAAACGCAAACGCAATCGCGATTCGCGAGTGTGAAAAATCATTGCGGCTCAACTTCCGAGCTTCCAACAACGAAGCGGACTATGAAGCATTGATCGCTGTACTCAGACTAGGTCTCGGCATTAACATCCAGGAGATCCGAGCATTCTGCGACTCTCAACTCGTCGCGAACCAGTTCAGCGGAGAATACGCCACTAAAGACGAAAGAATGGAGAAGTACTTGGCGATCGTCAAAGAGTTAGCTGCGAAATTCGCTAAATTTGAGCTAACGCGAGTGCCCCGAGGTGAGAACACGCTAGCATCGACATCCGACCCAGATCTTTAGCGGATAATACCGGTGGAATTCATTGAACGACCAAGCATCGAAGTCCCCGAACCGGTCATGACGATAGCCCCGTCGCAACTAGACATGGAATCCGAACCAAATGATGGTCCAACCGACATGGAGATAGACGAAGTAACCGAGTAAGGTTGCGACAAAGAATGGATGGGCGTGATCCAAACATACCAGCGCATCACTTTGTCTGCGTTATTGCCAATAAGAAGAGACAGCAAACCACATTTTCTTTGAATGTCCGTTATGCACAACAAGTTTGGAGAGCTTCATGTCTTTTCTATACGGCACTGTTGGTATCCGTTCTTTTAAACCCTGTAGTTTATATTTCTATGACTAAACAACATCAAGTCCTATGGGTTCTTTGGAGAATCTGGAAAAGTCGAAATGTTTTGATCTTTCAATGTAAATCAATTCATTGGAGGAGTTTAGCACGATATGCAATGAACGACACAAGTGACTGGATAAGATCTCAGGAGAAGACAGATGAGGTTCAATATGGAAGCAATAATGATGGGAGGGTGAATAGATATCGATCTTGGAAACATCCACCACAAGGATGGGTAAAATGCAATTATGATAGATCTTTCTTAGGGGCTGACCAAAATGCAAAGGCGGGTTGGATTGTTCGAGATAACAGAGGAACGTATTTGGGATTAGGTCAAGCTGAAGCAAAGAAGGTTTCAAGTGCCATTGAAGCAGAGTTTCAAGCGTTAATAATCTCAATGCAAAACTGTTGGTGTCGAGGTTATCGAAATATCATTTTTGGGAGTGATAGTAGAAACGTGGTGGCTTTAGTCAACAAGTTATCTCTAAACTTCGGGTTATTCAATTGGACAAGGGAGGTTTGGAGTTGGATGACCAAGTTTGACGATATCTCTTTTACTTGGGTGCCACGGGAAGGAAACAAGCCTGCTGATATGTTGGCGACGAGAAATCTTACAAACCAAGAAATCTTTATTTATCATCCTTAGAGCATGTCCAGCAGAGAGATCAGATGGATCTCTTATAATTAAAGAAAAATGAAAAAGAGGGAAAAAGATGAGAAAGAATGTATATTACTAAAGAGACTGTCTCAGCAAATTTGAGAGATTAAAAAAAAGGTGGCAGTCTATGATTGGTTGCCTTTTTATTTATTTTAAGTTTAATTCTTTTTAAAAAAATATATTAATTTAAAATGTAACTGATACTCAATCTAATATATTATTTGCGAAGTAAAAATTTCGTTTCCAGCCACCACGTTCACTCTCAGCTGGTTGATTACCCAGCTACCCTTAATGAAAATTCTATTTTTAAATCTTCATATTTCCCTTTTTTTAATTGTCACGGTTTATATTTTTAATTAAAGAAAATTATGATAATAATCCTAACTACCATATTAGGCGCCACAATTATGTAAGAATTACAAAAATTGGAAAGAAAAAAAAAAGGAAAACCTAAATTTCTTAACCGACTATGTGTTATATAAATAGATAGCAGCAACAAGCAAAATCAACACAATTTACGATTCTTATTTCTAGACATGAGATAATTTCTTCAGTCCATATTTCATCTTTTGTATTAATATATATTGAATTCCCGTCATATAGGTTGTCTAGGATTGGTTTTGTTTTTTTCTTATGATTATCAAGAAAAAAGAAAAAAGAAGATGATGATCGTTATGACGAACAACATGACCGTGATTAGTTTTATCATCACATACAGGTTTGTTAAATTGTGTTTGCTTTTGAGTACTATTATTTTGCTGATTTTTTTGTTAATGTTGAACTGGAAGTGCATATCTTGGAATTCGGTTTCCACCAGCTCAATGCAAACTTGGCAGATTGGTTGGTGCAACAAAGGGTTAAAAAGATATGTGAATGATTAGTCCACCATTAATTTTGAGAACCCTGGATTTTTTTTCTTCTTAATATCGAATTATCTCTACGGAAAGAGGGTTATCATGGAGAGTTGTCGGTCACAGCTTATGGTGACATCTTTAAATCGATGTCATAAGACATGAAGAAACAATATTGGCGTGCAGGGTTTTTAATCAATCTAGGTGAGATTTTATTATTAATATTTAAAAACTATTTTTTCCAGCTCTGGGTTTTTATTTCGACAATTCCAGATGATAACTCTAAGGGAGTAGAGGATGTGGAAAACCATAATTATCTTTAAAAACCATAATTTTATTGATTTAGATTTCGGAGTCTAATGTCGGCTAAAAAAAACCCTAATGACATACCTATAAATTTTGTTTGTTATTGTTTCTTAGCTCTTACGTTTCATCGTATCCAAACCGCTCACAATTTCAATGGCTTCCGTGTTGTGTGCTCTCACCACCTCCTCCCAAGCTCTTCTTTGTTAAGAGAATTAGTTTTAGTTTTTCATGGTAGTCGATAGATGTGGACATATGATTGAAGCTGGAATATGTCAACGAAGCTTTGTTTGAATGTCTTTGGTCTGGTAGTAGAGTCTTGAGGGCTTGGGGACTCAGTTCAGAGTTGCATGAATACTTATGCTTTTTTTAACATACAGTTTTGGGGATTGAACGTGAATAATGTATTAAGATGCTTGAAAGCATACCAAGATGAGAGGTTGAGTTGCCTCCATCAACGAATAGCTATGAAGGAGTCTCTTCTATAATTACTTTAGTATAGGTATTGATTATATTGGCTTCGAAGAAGAATGACGTGGAATCAATTGGTAGACATTCATCGTTGAAACATTAGGTAGAATAAACATTGATGTCTCTTTTCTTCTTTTGAATTTTCTGTTTCTTCACATGCGTAATTAACGCCTTAGGCCCTTTTCGGAGAACAATCCCAGTGATAGCCGCTCAATTCTTCTCAAGAAATAGAGGGTATGTACATCTTTGTTTTTAATTACAACTTATATACAAGCAGTAATTAATTTAGGGGAGAGAAAACCCTAAATTTGATAGATCTTTACAAATTATATATACAAAGCTGTCTTCGTCTTCTTAGTTTTGACGTTTTACATTAGACCTGTGATTTATTTATTATTATTTGAATTAGAGTGTTATATGTTCTCTCTATGTTAGCCAATACGTTGGTTAGATTCAGACAGTCAAACCTAATAATCACTTAGTGTTTTCTTATCTATATCAAACATGTTCTAAACAAAGGGGTGAGAAAACTGGTCTAACACAAAGCGTCTTAAAATTTCATGCCTTTGTCACCATTTGCATTCTAAAAACTCTACCATACTTCTAACAAGTTGGAAGATTGCATCTATCTCGAGCGGTATTTCTTAATCATATTTTATAAAAGAAGCCAGATCAAAAATTGTTTTGCCTTCGTCTTAGACGCTATATTGTTTTACACTTAACTTTGACGTTTGGATCTTAGCCCAACAAAATTTCATTCTTTGATTTTCAGTAAGAGTATATTGATAGCTTAAGTTACCTGATTTTCGGTAAGAGTATTCTAATTATTTGATGTGTGTATCGTACTTTGTTTTCCAATTTGCACATGAAACATGATTCATGTGGAGATGCGAATCATCCGATTGCGGCAGGGGCGGTGGGGTGAAGAATAAGCTGATTTCTTCGGCAAAACTCTGGATCTCTAGATCAACTTACATCACTGTTACTCCTGCTTTACGTCGGACAAAAACTATAAGCTACTGATTCCATCTGTCATGCTCCAAGTTTACCTTTATATGATTGCGGTTGTTAGTATTGTTGGTTCATGTTGCAATAAGGATTTTGATTGAATTCTCCACTCTCTTCTGTTAGGATCTGATGAAGGTATATATGCTTGGTTTGTTGCAAATCATCGTTGGTTCTCTTGGAGTTGATCCTTTGCAAACAACGGGATTGTTGAACTCGGTGGACGGTGGGGCTTCTGCGCAGGTTTTAGACTCCTCCAGTCAAAATTAATATGGAGGAGAAACTATGCATCTTAAATGATATTTATGAGACTTGAGGATATGTGAGGTAAACTGTTGACGATGGAAAGACTACTTACAAAGTTTACAGTCACAACTATGGATACGGAAGAGCATAGTATTTTGTTTTCGTTTGTAACTTAATAGCTGTGTCCCTGATTTTGTTTTTGTTTGTAAACTTGATAACTGTGCCCCTATTTTTTGTTTATTGATCTCTGAATATTTTAGTCCTTATAAACATCACTTGATTGGATCAACATTCAGGAGATTTTTGGCTACATAAAACTTCTACCATACCACAAAATGTAATGAAATCCTTTGAATTACATGTGGGTGACATCAAGATTTGTTCGAACATAAACTTATGTTTTTGTTTAGAGTTAGATTTAATAATAATACCTTTATTAACAATTATTATTATCAATATCCATGATAAGAAGAAGAAGAACATAACATATATGATTATGTTCCTTTCTATCAAAACATACATGATTAAGAAGAAGAAGTACATAAGAGCAGAGAAGAAGAAGAAAATAATGGAAGAAGAAAATCCGAGGATAAAGAAGACTAAAGTAGAAATAGAAGAAAAAAAGTCAAAGAAAAATCAGAAAATTAAGATGTTAGAGAAGACAAATAACTAAAGAAGACGGTAAAAGTACAAAATTGGAAAAAAATAACAAAAAAGTCTAGGAGATGAATGAAGAAGAAGAAATATGAAGAAATGAGAAGAAAACCAAAATATAAAAGGAAAAGACGAAACTAATAAATAAGATGTTGCAAAAGTCTTGGAGAAATTAAAGTAAAGACATGAAAACAAGAATTATAAAAAAAGATTGATAATAAAAAAATGGAAGAAAATAAAAAGATGTGATCACTAAAAAAGAACAAGAGGGAGAAGAAAACAATCATTACAAAATTTAACTAATTTTTTGTTCTTTCACAATTTATAAGTTCATATCAAATTAACAAAATGTTAAGTTATTACTTCCTTGGAAAATAAAATCATTACAAAAATAAGAAAAGTAATAAAAAATGCATTAATCTAATATTAATTGAATTTGTGAATTAACAAAATCTAGACTATCGAATGAATTGATTAGTGAAATACAAAACGTAGCCAAGAACGAAAAGCATGAGTAAGAGAACAGAAGATGGGAAACAACCAGAGGAAAAAAAATCAAAGAAGAAAAAAAAAGACAAAGAAAAGATAAATAAAAACTATAATAATTTGATGTCAGAGAAGACGAAGATGATAAAGATAGAGATAAGGGGGAATGAGGAAGAAGAAAATTTGGAAATAGAATGTAAAGAAAATTAGAAAGAAAAATAAGAATAGTGAGTTGGAGGATATGGAAACACAAGAAACGATTGAAGAACAAAAATTGCAAGATGAAGAAGAAGCAGAAAAAAAGAAGATGATGACAACGAATAAAAAAATAGAGGAAAAAGAAGAAGATGGGATCACTAGAGAAGAATAAAAGGGATAAGAAAACAACAATTACAAAAAAAAAAAAATAATAAATAAATAAAAGCAAATCAAGAACTAATTGGGTAATGTGAGATTCAGGTGTCCGGTTCATGGGGGAGTTATAATGTGGATTTAGATTGAGGGTGCAGGTTTTTAAATTAGGGGGAGGGGGTTTATAATGTGGGGTTTGGGTTTAGGGTTTAGGGTTTATATTGATGGGTGTAGGGTTTAGTTTTCTGGTGTGAAACAACCAACATTTGTTTTTTAAATACTAAACAATTCTAAATAAATCAATCAATAAAAATGTTCAGCGGAAGCAAATAACAAATTTAAATAAATACTTCTAACAGCTTAAACAAGTTCAACAAAGCAATGCATAATAATAAACCCTATCATCCCCCTCTTAAGCCTCGATTCCGCGATCACATAAACCTTTTACCTGCAACACATTGGAATGAAGTTGCATAAGTATTTAATAAATATTTAGTGAGGCAATCACTCTGCGTACAGGCCATTTACGCAATTTACTAGATATTTAATAATATTTATAAACTCCAGTAATTATTAAATACCATTTTCCAATTTTAAATATTTCTTAACCAGATTATTAAA